GGTTTGGTCCAGGTTGAGTCACTGTACCACAGCTAACAGCGGTTGTATCGTAGCCACCATTTATAACTGGGACAAAAGGGTATGCCGGTCCGGTTACCACTGAGGTGCCCTGAGCACACTGCTGCCCCCTGCTGACTTTGGTGATGGGTTAAAAGCAGAGGTCACATTTAGTTGTGTGCTGATACAATGACAATTAATTCACTTTCACTTTGCACAATACAATACATGTTTTTTAAGACAATATTACTACATAATTACCCATACTAAAGTTAAATACCTTGAAAAGTAAATGTTTTTTTCTTCCAGTGTTGTCTGCAAACCTTGATGTTGATTTTGTTCTGTGCTGCGTTCAGGTCCTAGGTTTAGCCAGCACTCAGGTGGGAGACACAGTGGTCAGCAAAGGTGTGGTCCACTGCAAGCAGCTGGTGAAGCTTAACCTCAGCCACACACGCATCACTGACAAAAGTACAGTCACACACACACCGTTCCACACACGCAGTCCACAAACAGCCTTCTATATCGTGTTAGCTCTTTTTTCTGGTTCCTCGTTTAGGTCTGAAACATCTGAAGAACATGCACCTGGCTCAGGTGAACCTGGACCGGACCGGTGTGAGTCTGACGGGCATCGCAAACCTGCTGTCCTTCACCAACATCATCAGCATCCGGGCCAGTAACCCTCGCACCATCCCTCTGGATGAGGTGTCCGACGAGGAGTGGGAGGCTGAGTGACCCTCCTGACCTTCAGCAGGTCCTGGAGCGCCTCCTACTGCTGCAGCTGCCCGTGCTCTCCTCTCAGCTCATCTCGGCTCCTCTTCGCCCAGCTCCTCACCAAAAAAAAAAAAACACAATCACAGTCCGACTTGCACTGTTTCAACTGCATCTAGTGCCGCTAATGCATGCTAGGTTGAACGCTTCGCAGTTAGGCCATGGCTTAGCATTTACATAGTGTATATACAGTACACATACAATCAGTATTTACCTGCAGCTTCTCATTAAATGTCCAGCTGACAGACTGTGTAGCTGCTGTGGAACACGGATCGCAGAATGATTTAGTTTAAAATAAACGACTCCTCCATAGAGGAACGACGTTAATTAGGTTTGTGTAGGTTTAACACAATAGTTTAACATTAGTTCAAGTTAGCGCCGTCGTAGCTGCTCCACCAGAGTTGGCGGTAGACGTTCAGAGCCCAGGCGTTTGTATGTATGGTTTGGCGCCCCCATCGACCTCTGCCCACTAATACAGGAATGTTTTTTTTTTACTGCGTTTAAATTTGCAGATTAAAGAGAGTAAACATCCGTGCTCCGAATTTAGTAGTGGGTACTGCGTTTAAATTTGCAGATTAAAGAAAATAAACATTCGTGCTCCGAATTTAGTAGTGGGAGAACAAGATAGAAATAAAGCGCTAAGCATTAAAGCTAGCGACACCCTCGTCTCCCACACGTGTTGCTACAGTAGATACAGAAACAGTCAAAAGTACAGCTGTAACTTACAGGTGATGTGATGAACAGCCGTCTGGGTTGACCAAGTTCCTACAAGTAGGATTCACAATCTGTAAATGCAAGATGAGGAAAGAACAAGTGGAACACAGCGCCCCCTTCCCAAACACACCCACGTTCTACCATCATTTCATTGGAGGGCCACATGAGCGATCACTGTTCTGTAGAACAGTAGTAGTTCTTGTTTACCAAGAACACTGCAGTTCTCAGACTGTCCACAAACTTACTCTTAGAAGACAAACTGAAGCATTTTAATAACTGAAGTGAAATTTCAAGGGCAAAATTAAAGGAACATCTAGTCACAGGTAACATCTGTGGGGTGGGGGGGGTGGGGGTTCTCCTTACCAGAAGTGGTCCTTGAGCCAGGAGTTTAGCACCTATGGTCTTCGGTCCAAACCCACCACTGAAAGTGAATGTAAATTGTGTTCAATGTAACTGTGGGCAGGAAACCTGCCCAGGATGTACTCACGTGGCCGCGTGAACGACAGGGAATTAAAAAGTTTGTCTCGTCTCTGTCGGCTCGGAATGTCAATTCATTTAATCTCAGGAATTAATCTATGGAATCCAAGGTTTAAATGGTTAACAAAATAATCCGTGTGAAGGAAGACGTCGGCTGTGGTTTGACCTTCAGCACCAACGGTTTCTTACTCTGCCATCGTACGTCTCACACATTCCTGCCGCGGGTTTCCCTGAAGGAGAGAAGTTTGAAGTCGTTTTCTAACTCTGCTGTCACGCCTGAGTGAAAGAAGTAGCTTTTTGGAATCAGGATTTTCTATTTTAACTGCATCCTGGCGATGCTAACAGAGCAGATTCACATCTATGCAACCGTGCAGCCCACTAATCACAACCCAAAGCAACTTGGACTCACTGGTAGTTTGTGTCGTCTTGTTTACAGAGATGTTTAATAGTTTATTTTTCCCTAAAAGCCTTTTGGTTTGCATATGAAGCCACTGTCTAAAAGAAAATTAATATTAATAAAAAAAGTTTTCCTTCAATCTTACCGTTGCTTTTGTGTTCTGTTTATTCAGACAAATACTCCTATTTCTCATACTCCAATGGGATGTTTGAAACTTTGTGATATTTAAAAAAGTGAACTTTTAAATACCATAAAATATGACCTAAAAGCTGCTGCATACACGGTGGTGTAAAACAGAACACTTAGGGAAAAAAATAAAACTTGTCTATCCACACAGCACTATGGAATGCATTCCAAAATGTACCGAGATGCTTCAGGTGAATCAGCCAATCAGAGTGCAGCCGGGGGAGATGTAAGGAAACCAGAACGTTGGGTTTGGAGTTAGCATGCCACGGCACTGCGAAACCAAAATTTAACTGTGGGGTTTTTTTTTTTTGTACATGGATGAAGAGTGTCTGATAAGATGCATATATCAGTTCTGTTTGGGGGATGTTTTTCCTGCGACACAAACGTGGCTCGGGGGTCTTTATGAGGGCGCAGGTCAAACACAAGATGCGAGACGAGGGAGAGGTTCGTGTGAAGGGTGTTTAGATGTCATGCGTTTGCTGCTTCTCAATCTTTGTCTTCAGGTGTTCCTTATAAGCCAGGATGTCCTTCTTCCACTTGGTGATGGCTTGGTTCTCACACACCCAAATTTCTTGCGCCACCTTGAGGAAAGATGGAGCAGAAAAGCATCAGAACTGCTTGAACGTTTTATTGTTGTTTTGCGAAAACTTATCATGAATTACAATCACACCTGTTGAATTAGCCTAAAGTCGTGGCTAACCAGCATCATGCCACCATCAAACTCGTTGACCGCTTCTGCCAGGGCGTCGATCGTCTCGATGTCCAAGTGATTGGTGGGTTCGTCCAGGAACAACATGTGTGGGTTCTGCCAGGCCAGCCAGGCAAAACACACCCGACACTTCTGACCATCAGACAGGTTCCTGATGGGACTGACCTGCGGCACATTTCAGACATTTCTTTTAAAGCCGTCGATTTTTTTAACCACTTCACCGTACATCGTCCAACATCCCTAATTCATCACTCAGAAAACCACATTCCCACCTGCTGTTTCCCAGTCAGTCCGTAGCGGCCGATGATCTTCCTCATCTCTTCTTTCTCCTTGATCTCGGGGAAGCACTTCATCATGTACTCCAGTGGAGACAGGTCCAGCTCCAGCTGCTCTGTCAGATGCTGAAACATCACCAGATACAGAAAGATTGTTACAACCTGCTGCACATAATGTCAGGATTCCATTTCATCCGCAGCACGTTTTATTTACCTGGTGGTATCTGCCGATTTTGACGTGAGAATGTTTGCGGATCATGCCGTCGGTGGGCAGGAGCTGGAGAAGGAGGAACATGAAATACGTTAACTCTGAAATGAACAAACTGGTGATGAAAGACCCAGAAAGGTGGGGCGGGAGTCCGGGGGGTTCCACTGACCTCTCCCATCAGCAGCTTCAGTAGCGTCGATTTTCCCGCTCCGTTGGGCCCCACCAGGGCGACCCGTGTATCCAAGTCAATCCCAAACTCCAGGTTTTTGTATATGTGAGGCTGTGGAGAAAAGGAAGACCTGAGTGAGCGACTGAGGAACGTAACAGTAATCCAGAGAACGTCCCGCGGGAAATATACTCACTGTGTTGTCACTGTACTTGAAGCTGACGTTCTGAACCATGATAACAGGAGGAGGAATCTTCCCACAGGGAGGAAAAAAAAATGACAAAGTCTGAAGGAGAAGAGGGGAAAAAAAAAAAATGTTAAAAATAAATCAAACCAAATCTTCAAAGAGACACTTCCAGATTAATAATCCCACCATTTAGATTAGTCACAAAAACAGATCTGAAACACTCATATTTAGGAATCGTGATCAATTGAGATTCAATTAATCAGACTGACAGTTTTTATCCCTACATCAAATAAATATAATGGAAATAACAACAATTTTTTTTTACATCTTCTCACCTTGTCATTCACAACTTTTTCAGTCAGACCTGACGCCACCATCTTCTGCAGCGTCTTCTCTTTGCTCTGTGCTTGTCGTGCCAGTTTTGCGGAGCCGTGACCAAACCGGGCTATGTAATTCTGGGGGAGGGAAGTGAACGCCATCGGTGAGTGTGGGACAGAATAAAGTCAACAAAATTATAATTATTTAAAATCAAAAACTGGAACTGTTAAACTGGAATCTTCCTTCACCTTCATATGTGCTATTTGGTCCTGTTCCCAGTTGAAGCGTTTCATCTGATTCTCCTCCAACTCTTCTCTGGTCTTTATATACTGGTCGTAGTTTCCCTTAGGTGGAAAAAAAACAAAACAAAACATGCCCGGTCATCCTGGAGGTCTTCCCTCAGTCAGAGATAGTAACAGTCCGTCAGCCTGGCTCCAAATTTAGCAGCAAGGGATCTCTCCTAAAGTATAATCCTCCAGTGCCAAGACCTTTTGTTTGCAGTGGATGAGTAATTCTGTTTAAAGTCGAGCAAAGGTTATAATAATAAAGTAGTACTTACTGTGTAGTACTTCAGCTTCCTCTGGTGTAAGTGAATGATGTTGGTGCACACGCCGTTCAGGAAGTCTTGAGAGTGAGAGATGAGCACGAGGATTCGTTTGAACCTGGAAAGAACCACAGGGGTCAGAGCTGAAGATTAAATCAACTTTAACATGAAGGGGTGTCAGAAAATAACAATATATACATTTCATGATGCCGTATCTACATTCTACAGCACCAATTAACAGTCATATTCCTGGGGTTGGTTTATTTTATTTTTCTCTAGTGATTCCTGATGTAGATAACAGTCAAATATTCCTGGTGTTGGTTTATTTTATTTTTCTTTAGTGATTCCTAATGTAGATCCCGTTGTTGCAATGTTAGTAACCTGATGTTCAGATGGAACAGCTGAAAGAAAGCATTTAAACAAGTCTGAACTCACGACTTCAGCTCTTCTTCCAACCACACACAGGCGTCCAGATCCAAGTGGTTCGTGGGCTCGTCAAGCAAAAGCATGAAGGGTTTGATGAACAGAGCTCTACAAAGAGAATGAATTACAATAATAAATAAATCAAACATTTGTGAAATGTATTAAACACATTTATCGTTACTTTTCTTGGATATGTAGAATCTAAATCTCGTCGTCAGTACCTGGCCAAAGCAACGCGCATCCTCCATCCTCCGCTGAAGTCCTTCAGCTTCTTCCGCTGCATCGCGGAGCTGAAACCCAATCCGTGGAGGATTCTAGAAGCTCTCACTTCCGCCTTGTCTGCATCCAACTCCTCGAGACGCTCGTACAGCTCCATCAGCTTCTCACATTCAGCTACAAACGACATTTAAACCTTCAGTTCCTTGTTCCTACCGTCACCCAGACTCAAACTCATTTTTATTCTACATTCACTGCAGACGTGATTAGACGTGACTCACAGTCCTCGGTGGCGAGTCTCTCCGCTTCCTTCTCCAGCTTGATCCTCTCCTCATCCACCTCCATGACACACTGCAGGGCCGTCTTTTCACTGGGGGCCATCTCCCGGGTCAAGTGGTAAATATCAATGTGCTCTGGAATGGGAATCTCACGGTGGCCAATGGCTGACAGCAGCATTGATTTTCCTAAAAATAAAACAACATGAGACTGCAGCAGAGTCCTGAAGGTAAAGCTGAGGAGCGCAATCCAACCATCTGAGGAGAAAACAGAAAAAGGCAAAACTCACCAGTGCCATTGAGTCCAATGAGGCCGTAGCGTCTCCCTGAGTTGAGCTCCAGGCTGGTGTCAGCCAGCAGCTCCTGCCCGTGGAAAGTGAGCGACAAGCTGCTAATGTGGACATCAGTGCTGTTGGGATGTGAGGCTAAAACCCCGGTCACCGCCCGCGCCTCTGTCTTTCGAAGCTCAAACTCATCCAGCTCTTTAGTCAAGCTGGCAATACCTGTCCAAACCCAAACCACAAAAACCATTGATTTCTAATGGAATGAACAACAAGTCCAGGTGTTGTTACAGTCAAACTTTGGTCCACAAGGCTTGGTCGACCGTGGCATCAGAGGTCTCACCGTTACTGTGTGCGCCATTGGTCTGAGTTTCTGGTTGGTCAGAGTCTTCGTTGACTTCGTCTGCTTTTTTAGTGCGCTGGCGAGCTTTGGCGGCCTCCTTCTTCTTCGCTGCCTTTTTCTTGGCTAGGTCAGATGGCATGGTTGTTGGAAGGCTGTACTGGAGTTGAAAATTAAAGGTAATCAAAGTTGACGTGTGAGACAGGTAGACAGAATTTTACATTTCACACTGACCCATCGAATTTCTTTTAGAGAAAAATACCATCATTTTTTACGTGATACTAAGGTAAACAGGTCAGAATCAGGGTTTTACCACACAGATTAAAAAAATGAACACTAATTTACCGCGAATACAGTCATTTTGCTGGTCACATGTAAGAACACTGAAGTGATGTCAACAGCGGTTTACAGCATTGTCGCAAACGTGGTTATTGACTCTAACCAGGCTCTTTTTGGCTATATATAACGGTACAATGTGTGTAACTGTAAAATAAAGGTAAAGTGATCACGTTTCACTTCCTTTCAGTTCCACCTGCCGCACGTTGTGCTCCTCACGCAAGCGAAGCCCGGTGGCCCTGCCGGCTTCTAGCCGATAATGGAAGCCAACACCGCTGTAACATTAACATTACATGTTGTCACGTTAGTGTGACTATTGACGGCTAACTATAAAACAACAAATCCGCTGGGTCTAAACACCACACATAGGAGCATCATTTATAATTAATTATTTCTTTCTGTTGGCTAAGCTAAGCTAAGCTAAGCTAACAACGGCATCAGCAATTACCAGGCCTGAGCCGCTAAGGCTAAACTGGGCACAAGGCCTATCCAAGCTGTGACGGCGGCTAACTCATTAAATTATCCACGAATTGATGGCGGCAATTTGTTAACCTCAACCGCCGTTGTTTCGTTTAATTGAGTCGTACTTGTCATGTGTCGGTTATGTCTCTTTTACCTTATTAATGGAATCCTTGTCTCCGGGGCACACCGACGTCTCGTGTCCACTTTTCGCCGGGTGGATGTAGCCGCACGTTGAACCGCTAGACAAACCATATATAGCCAACAAGGGCGGCGATAAAAATGAGGACACGCCTCCGGTTGTGGGCGCAGTATATATATAAATGTATTACTAAAAATGACTAATTTGTTTGCAATAAATTTGACATAAAAAAGAGTGAACTATTTGAACTTAAAGAGTGAAAATGAATTCACATTCACATTAAAAATTAAAATGAATACAGCTACTGATATGCTAAAGGCAGTGTCATTAAAAGTGAACATAAAACTTTAGTGTTGACTTAAAAGTGAACATCAAAGTAAATGATTTTTCCAAGTAGTTTGTCACTTTTTCACCGAAGTCACTAAATCTGAGATTATTATTGTTTAAATCATTGGATTGTGTAAATTCAAAGAAATGATTTTACTTAATTAATGTGTAATATCTCTGGCACCAGGTCATTACTTGTGTTTCTTTCCTGTTTTAATATCAGACATTATACATTATCTTTAGTTAGTTAGTTGTTCATGTTGCGTCATACATGAAATTACATTTTGAGTATGTATAAGGGGGGAATAAACCACGATCTATTACTTTATATTAGGTTGTATTTATGGGCTGTGTTTACAACCGACACGTGTCTGCTTTCTTTTTTATAATGTATTTTTATACGTCATGTAGGTGTTTTGTAGGTCATGGCCCAGAACCTGGAAATCACGGAACACGTCTATATTTGGGAATATAACACCTGACAAAGATGGATTAAAAATAAAATGTCACAGTTGTTGAAGACATCTGAACATTTTAAAACGTCTGTTCGAAAACTTCTGTCAATTCCTGAATATTCTTGGATTGGTTTTCATTCTTACTCATGCGCTTTTGTCTATATTCAAAATTCAGTTTCGGTTTAAAAAATAATATCCTTGTAAACCACAGGTGTTGTAAAAAAACATAGATTATAATTTCAATAATTTCAGCCCTGTGACGTGAACGTGGTCAGGAAGGTGATGCTGTTGCAGCCGCAGCACAGACCAACTAATGATGATGATGATGAACGGGGGTGAAAGAAAAAAGAAAAACAACCCCTAACGTTATTTCTCAGCGGTGCATGTGGCACTCAGCTGTTAAAGGAAGAACAAAAACTGAATACGATGGATGGCGTCTGTCCCGTTTCCTGGATTTGTGACATTTTACCCACACCTGAGAGATATAAAGTCTGTATCTTCGTGTCACTGTTTACGGAGGAAAAGATGGACTGAGAAGCAGCAGCGAAGATTTTTGCAACGGAACAGCGGAAAGGCTAACATGCTAACACACTCCTTGGCGTCTCTTTCTCCGTAACACAATTGCTCCTCCGTGTTAAAGTTATTTTTTTAATAGAAAACATTTATATTTTCTTATTTTGCCGTTTAAGAACTAACTAAGTAAATAATGTAATTTTAAGGATTAACGGAACGATTCTTGTAGCTACATTAGTTAGCCCACAGGAAGCTATAAAAGCTAGTTTAAATTAGTGATGCTAATTAGCATTAAATCCAATGTAACGCTAATAACGAGATTTTAACGTTATTTTCCCAAAAATAACGCTAACCGGGATTTACACTAAAGGTAAACCAGTGCTGTTTAAAATTTAGTCTTAGTTACTCATGACCTTGAAATGAAATACTTTGCCTATAATGCATCTCTCAGGAAAATTAAAATGTGACATTTTTTTAAGTGGCGCTTTCACTTAAACGTATAAAACTACTACTGAAGACTTGACTTTTTTCTTAAATTTCCTTGCACGCGACATAACTGGTATACATTTTCCTGAGACGCAGCATTATCATTATTATTTTTAAAAAATATATATATTTTAATTATTCCTGTCATAAGTGAAGCTCAGCTGCCAGGTATGCGTCTCTCCTCGTTTCTGGCCCTGTTCAGGCCTGCTTTACCCCTAATCCTCGGGCTGTCTCTGGGATGTAGCCTGAGTCTTCTCATGGTGTCCTGGACGCAGGGGGACGCTGAAGACTCTTGCGGGGATGAACTGGGGAACGGGAGGGTTTTCATGGGCAGAGGAGATGCCCAGAGAGTGTCCAGGGATGAAGCTGGGGATGAGGATTTCCAACCACGCATTGTGCCATATCACAAAGACCCCAACAAACCTCACAAGAAAGTTCTCAGGTGGGTGTCGGAGACACAAATGTGACCTGTGTGGTTGTCCATAAACTTACAATAACAACAAAATAAGAACATGAAAGTTTTGTGTCATCTGTTTACAACACAGCCAGTCAAATCAAAACCATGTTTTCAAGAGAGTCTGTTTCTAGTTTGCTTGTAATTAGATCTTAAGCGGATAGAATTAAAAGTTACATCTATTTATTTATTATAGTAAATTATCAAAATATTACTGCAGACAAGGACATGTACTGAAAACTTTAGTTCCAATTAAATTCATTAAAATTAAAATGTCATGTCTTCTATCCAAACAAGTCATGTTTTCACTTCTATAAAAAGGAATATTGATTTCTGAAATGTTTATTTCACCCCTGATGGATTAGGATAATTAAGCTTTATGATAGTAAGGGGTTGCTGCCAAGGAGTTGGACACAGACTGTCATTGTCCTTTGCATTTTCTTTCTAACTATAGATTTTTTTATGCATCATCATGTACTTGGTATTCTACTGCTAAAATGCTGTCATCCCATATCAAAAGGCTTTTTTTTTAATGGATTACAAAGCCAATTTTAGGCTCCTTGATACACCAATTTGCCAATAAATGGTCTACAATGTATACTTGAGATGAAGACTCTCATATTTATCTTCTAATATTCTTTTTTCCCCTTTTTCTGCCTCTCTGTCCTCATCTGTAGAACCCGGTATATCCACACTGAATTGGGCATTAGGGAGCGTCTGCTAGTGGGCGTGTTGACGTCCCGGGCCACCCTCAACACCTTAGCTGTGGCTGTGAACCGTACAGTTGCCCATCACTTCCACCGCACCTTTTTCTTCACCGGATTGCGCAGCCCCAAAGTGCCCCATGGCATGACGGTGGTTGCCCACGGCGACGATCGCCCCGTGTGGCTCATGTACGAGACGGTTCGCCACCTCCACGAGCACTATGGCTCAGAGTACGACTGGTTTCTCCTAGCACAGGATGACACTTACCTGCAGGCGGATCGTCTGTCTGAGCTGGTGGGCCACCTCAGCGCAGGTCAGGACCTGTACATGGGCAGGGCGGAGGAGTTCATTGGTGGAGAGGAGAAAGCTCGCTACTGCCACGGTGGTTATGGCTACCTGCTGTCCCGCAGTCTGTTGGCTCGTCTGCAGCCACATCTGGACACATGTCGTAACGACATCCTCAGCGTGAGGCCCGACGAGTGGCTGGGCCGCTGCATTATAGACTACCTGGGTCTCAGCTGTGTCGAGGTGCATGAGGTAAAAAATAAAAACAGAGAATATGTTATTTACATGGAAATACTGGAAACTGTGTCGAGGTGCATGAGGTAAAAAAAAAACAAATAAAAAAACAGAGAATATGTTATGTACATAAATACTGGGAAATCAGAGCAGTTTTGTTACAGTTCAATTTTCCATTTTCTTTTTCAGGAGATGACCTATCAATATTTTGAACTGGGGAAAAATGCTGATCCAGAGCGGGAGGACAGTCCAGAGTTTAAAAATGCTTTCACCGTTCATCCTGTGTCTGAACCTAATCTCATGTACCGCCTGCACAAACGCTTCAGCCAGATCGAACTAGAATGGACGTACCTGCAGATTGAACAGCTCCAGGTTTGTCAGATATATACAGTATATAAATGCAGATTGAACAGCTCCAGGTTTGTCATATATATACAGTATATAAATGTATGTTCCAGGACTTGCCTATGGTTTATAGACATCAAAAAGCCAAAACAAAGCCTGCAGTCTGTTGACAGGCTGAGACATGAGACATTCCTGTGTCTCATTGTTAGAAAGACACCTCAGTCCCTAATGCCTGTTATAGCATCTAAGTATAGGTAATTATGGGATTTTTAACTTGACTTTAAACACACACTTCCTTACATCACGGAGCTTTTACACCGGTGATGGATCATTTTCATCTTTCACAGTCACAGTGACTCGTCCTTGTGTGTGTTTTTGTCAGATGCAGATCAACAACCTGAGTGACCTGACACCAGAGGGAAAGGATGGAGTGACGTGGCCAATAGGAATCAACCCTCCTTTCAAACCCAGGACACGTTTTGAGGTCATAAACTGGGAGTACTTCACAGAGGAGCACATCTACTCCTGCGTCGATGGTTCTCCGAAGTGTGAGATCAGAGGAGCAGACCGCGCTGATGTCGCCGCCATCCTGGAGATCGCTGTGGAGCGTTTGAACGAACGCTACCAGCCACAGCTGCGCTTTCGTAAACGCCGTCTGCTCAACGGATACCGGCGCTTTGACCCCACGCGTGGTATGGAGTACATGCTGGACCTGGCGCTGGAGGCCTACACCCAGAAGGGCCACAGTCAGGTCATCGTGAAACGGGTCAACCTGCTGCGTCCTCTCAGTGCAGTCGAGATCATTCCAATGCCTTACGTGACTGAGGCGACGCGGGTGCAGGTCATCCTGCCGGTCACTGCTCAGGATCAGGACTATGTCAGTAACTTCCTAGACATGTACGTGATGAACACTCTGGACACGCACGACAATGTTCTACTGACGTTCCTGTTTATTTACGATCCCTTCGACGCTCAGCGAGTCAGCCAGACGGATGTGTTCGCCGGCATCAAAGCGATGATCGGCGAGGTAGAGAAACGATACGGGGACGTGAAGATTCCCTGGATAAGCGTGAAGACGGAGGTGCCCTCACAGGTCAAACTAATGGACATCATTTCTAAGAAGCATCCAGTGGACACGCTGTTTTTCCTGTCC